TAGATTCGAGTATTCCGTTGGGTAGTCATTGGAACCTGTAATTAATAAAATTAATTTTTAGTATTTTAAAATATTTTAATTAATTATGTCGTGTGTATAGAAAAATTTGGACATTCAGATGGATCCGAAAAGACACCTAAGAGAGTAAGTATTTTTAAATCTCAACCGAGTTTGAATTTTAAAAAGTGCATTCATTTATTTAAATTATGAGTTTTAAAATTTGAACAGACATTGACCTAATTTTCGATAAAAAAAAACAGAATTCAAATTATTATCAGTAAACGTAAGCAATTTAAACCATATGAGGAGACGAAACCAGAAAACAGACCCAATAAATTGAGAGTTATTTGAACTGATGAAATTTGAAATTGAAAAAAAAAAATTTCAATTAAGGAAAAATTGAAAAATAAAAAGAAATAAAATAAAAATGTAAAAATAAAAATGAAAAGAAATAATTGAGGTTAAGAAATGATCATTTAAATAAATTGAAAATTTTGAAATGAAAGGGTAGGGGTGAATAGAGTAGGGATCCTAAATACCTATTCATTTAGTCTGAATCGAGGAGGGAAGTGTGTGTGTTTAGCTGAAGTTCAGCACATATGGTGAACTTGCACATGGATAGAGTCTGAAACCTAATTTAGACGTGGATAGGCATTCGTGTGAATGTGGGTCACTTAGCAAACGTACCTATTGTGATTTATGTGTGTGCTATCCATGCGATAGAGGGATCAATTTTGCTTTTCTTCGATGATGATATAAACGGCACCACGCGATGAAACTATAAAAATAATCGTTCGAGTGTATCTGTGATCTTTTGTGTGTGTGTGTGATTATATTTCGAGATTATGAACAATATTCGAGTGTATCTATAATTTTTTTTTTTGTGTAATTATGTTTTGAAATGACTTTCGAGAGTATGGAAATATACATTTGAGATTTGTATGTGATATTTAAGAGAATTCATCAGATCGATCAGGAACATGTGAAATAGTGAAAATAAGAATATGAATTTGCACTAAAATATTTTTATTGTTTTTTGTTTCTTACCGTATATTTTGCATGAAATTTTATCTAGGTTGAGAGAACGGGAATACTTATTGAGTTGGTGAAATTCACTAAATTTTACCATGATATTTTTCAGATGAGAATGAAGAGTCAACACCGTTACCAGACGAATAGAACCTGT